ATATAAAGAAGACACGTCCATGGATGCAAGTATAGTATTGCTTGGTAGAGGATTGAGGCTTTCCATTTTCTTTAGATAATCAGTCGTATCTTGGATGTAAGAGGGTAGTTCTTTCACATGAGGTCTTAGATGATGGTCTAAAAATTCTGATATCTTTTCAGTTGGATGACTATTTGCTGAAACAATTGGTCGACCTGGATTGCCCGTTTTATGTATTTTAGGCAACATATAGAATCTTCCGGCCTTTGCTTCGTTCTCAAGAGGTCGGAGATAATCAAAGGTGTCATTGTCTATATGCTTTTTGTCGAACATCTCTTGAAGGATGGTGTTGATCCTTCGAATATTATTAAGTGTTGGATCTGTGGTTAATTGTTTATAAAAAATGGAGTTTGAAAGTTGGCGATTTCCCTCTGCTATGTAATCTGTTTTATTCATGACAACCACAGCGCCCCCTTTGTCGGCAGGTTTTATTACGATATCCTCTTGATCTTTTAACGCTTTCAAAGCAATGCTTTCTGACTTGGATAAATTATAATTTCTGTATTTGTTATACAGGACTTTATATCAGACCTCACGTAGTTAATGAATGACTCCAAGTTATCATTTTTACTCTTAGGTGGTTTCCATGAACTTTTTTTCTTAAATTTTGGGATGGGCGTGACTTCTTCATTGGTGTCAGTATCTGAATCTGTTAATCCAGCTTCTTCAAGGTTTTTCTTGCCCCTATTGTAGAAAAAATCTTTCAAGCGTAAACGTCTAGCGAATTGGTCTAAGTCCTCGTCTAGCTGAAAGTTATTTACACTTGATGGGATAGGACAGAAGTTTAAACCTTTACTTAAAAGAGATTCTTCAGCACGTGTAAGTTCTTTAGACCTCATGTGAAAGAACTACCCTCTTACATCCAAGATACGACTGATTATCTAAAGAAAATGGAAAGCCTCAATCCTCTACCAAGCAATACTATACTTGCATCCATGGACGTGTCTTCTTTATATACCAACATTCCACAAGACGAAGGAATAGCAGCGTGTGAAGAGGTATGGAACACTCGTAGTGAAAAAAATCCTCCAACTGAGTGCCTTGTTACACTTCTGAAACTAGTGCTAGAGAACAACAACTTCTCTTTCAATGAAAAACATTATCTCCAGATAGACGTTACTAGTATGGGCACAAAAATGGCCCCGTCATATGCCAACATATTTATGGGCCAACTTGAAAAACGCCTCTTGGCTAGTGCTCCATACCAGCCCTTATCATGGTTCCGATTCATTGACGATATTGATTTCAAATGGACAGATTCACAAGAACATCTTAATGAATTTCTAGGACACTGTAACTCTTTCCACCATTCAATAAAATTTACATATGAATCATCTATGGAGAAAATAAACTTCCTCGACACTACGAGTTACATCAAGAACGGAACCATTATAACGGACCTTCATACCAAACAAACGGACAAACATCAATTCCTTTCTCCTAAAAGTTGCCATCCTAAACACTGCTCCCGTGGCATCCCATTCAGCCAGGCATTGCGAATCAAGAGAATATGCTCTACTGAAAATACGCAAAATGCTAGACTTGGACAACTACGTAAACATCTAGTTGTTCGAGGATACAATAACAACATCATTGATAGCGCTTTCGAAAGAGCAAACAAAACTAGTCGCCAAGAACTTCTAGAGTACAAAGATAAGAATAAAGCAGCTAACAGAACACCCCTTGTACTCACTTACCATCCTGATTTTAAAAATGTGTCTTCCATTGTTCAGAAGCATTGGAAAATTATAGAAAATGATGCAAATCTTAAAAAAGTATTTTCCTCACCACCAGTCATGGCCTTCAGAAGACCTAAAAACATCCGTGACAAATTAGTGACATCTGTATTAGCAAAGCAGCCTACTCCATCTCCCGGTTGCTACAAACAATGTGGTCGAAGGAACTGCTTGTGTTGTAAAGCTGCCAATACAAGCAGTTCTTTCATCAGCTCCGTTACTAAACAAAATTATACCATCTACTCAAATTCCAACTGTAAAACGGAGAACTCAATTTATATATTAACATGTGACACATGTGGCATTCAGTATGTGGGAGAAACAATGGACAAATTTAATATTCGGCTCAATAACCATCGTTCATGGTACAAAACAAACAAAAACTGTCCTCTCACAAGACATCTTCGTTCAACGAAACATTCTTTTGATAATGTTACCTTCCAAATCATAGAAGTCAACACCGAGTGGGACACCACGGCGAGAAGGAGAAGAGAAAATTTTTGGATCCACCAACTCCACACTTTAGAACCTGATGGTCTTAACGAAAAAGATGAGAAAAGATACAGGAAAGATAAAGAATAATTTAGTACACAGCATCGTCCTTTTTATCCTGTAATATTGGCCAATGGACGTTGCTAACTTCAACTACCAATTTTGTAAAAATCTTGAACTTCATCCAAATTATGTATTATTTTCAAGGCAGCTCAATTCAAGTGCAACATATACATTGAGCTGCAAAAGTTTCTTATCATCTACATCCGATTTCACCTGGATAGATGCACGCTTGATAAAGCTAGTTAGTCTAGCGAAATATTGCGTTTATTTTCATCATTTTGTAAATATTTTAAACATTCTTATATTTACATACTAAATAGTGTGTTAAAATTACATTGTTAGGCAATCTATATATATATATATATATATATATATATATATATATATATATATATATAAAAATTGCGGAATACAGATCTAACATTGTTGGGCTGTTATTTAGACGAATTATATATATATATATATATTTCGGCTAAACAAATAGCCTTCGTCAGTGTCAATAATTTTAACAATGACACTGAACAACAAATGTTCTTAAACCCTGCTGACTGCCATTGGCGATTGCCAAATAAACGGATCACCGATGTAATAAATGGATCTTAATTATAAATTTAATACTAAACAGAAAACAATAAACTTGCGGAAAAAGATGGTATACCGCAAACAAAAGGTGCAAAGGTTTTGTACACCATATCCGAATTTCGACAATTAATGTCTCTTCAGTGATGTTAGGAATCGAAACGGTATTTGGAAAGCCATACAATTTACCTCAATTTAGGATAGACTCTTGAATTTTGAGGAGTCAAAATAGGATGAACGGATCATATAAACCCGAAGGCAAATATAATACAAGCCCAAACGAAAAAATATAAACAAGTCTAAATTGAAAACAACGTTCAAACCTATGCGTTGGATAAAAACCGCAATTTTTATACGTGTGCATGCAAAACAAATTTCTTGTTAAATAGATATAAGAAGATGTGGTATGAGTGCCAATGAGACAACTCTCCATCCAAGTCAACATTTTTAAAAATAAACCATTATAGGTCAAAGTACGGTCTTCAACACGGAGCCTTGGCTCACACCGAAAAGCAAGCTATAAAGGGCCCAAAAAATGACTTGTGTAAAACCTTTCAAACGGGAAAACCAACGGTCTAATCTATATAAAAAACGAGAATCGAGAAACACTTATGAACCACATGAACAAACGACAACTACTGAACATCACGAATTGTTGGCTTGTTGGATTCCTACAGATAACAAATACATACATTAGGCCGTTAATTTTCTCGTTAGAACCGTTTTACATTTGTCATAGCTTGCTATGTTGTATAAGTTCTTGATCATTGTTGCAGGTCCTACATATGTTAACTGCTGCGTAATTTGGTGTCTGGTGGATAGTTGTCTAATTGGCATTTATACCAAATCCTCTTTCTTTTATATCATACATTATTTTGTACGTTTTAAAAAATAACTTGATTCGCGATGTCCTTTAACTGCCATTAGATGTAAGTTTATGAAATCTGCGACACAGCTGGACTAATTTTGCCTGGCAATTGAACTTGACAGGATAGGGGGGAAATTGAGCGCTCTTTACCCGCCACATTCTTTATGTGCCTGTGATTCAGTGGTTGTCGTTGGTTGCTGCTTGACATATGCTTTTCGTTTATTTTTATTGTCAATTAGGCATCTGTTTTTTCTCTTTAGAATTGTTTCATATTTTGTCATTTCGGAGCATTTTAAAAATTACTTAACGATATGGCTTTTCTCATTGTTGAAAGCCGTATGTCAATCTATAAAGTTGTTTGCATTCTCATTCGTAGGTGGATAGTTGTCTCATTGGCAATCATACTCCATCTCTTTATGTTTATATCTATAATTATTTTACGTCAATTAAACGAAAATCTGCGTAGCAAAAACATTCAAATTTTTAGAATTATCAATGAACAAATTTTGGAAATATGTAGATTTAAGACAGTTCAAAGATTTATTTCAACAGATTTTAAGTTCAAATTGCATTTTATTCAAATGTAAAGGAATATTTATTCAACTATGTGTCAGAAAATATAAGATGTTTATATGTATCTATATAAAGTCTTGTGATCGATTTCTTAATTAAAGTTTAACATGCCGAAGTTGTATGCAACATCTTGTTAAAATCTGTGACATCACCCTTGTTACTGTAACTAGACATAAAAGGATGTCAAGCGGTTGAAACATTTTCAAATGTCTGAATTTGGCAAAGGGGACACGCAAACTTCTTATTTAATGTCCCGGTAATCAATAACTTCAAACAATATATAAAAAAATGTTTGACAATTACTTGAAACCTGAGTTATATAGCTGTTGACACTTCGATCTTTGGTATCAATAAAAACAAAAGTACTTTTTATTAGAGCTACAGTGTAGGTATTTAAATTCCGTTGTGTACAACACAGAACAATTTCTACATTATTTACAATATTTTGCAAGTTTCTATGTACCTGTCCATGTTTAAGTTAAAATGGTATTTAAACATTTCAGTTCAATGACAAATACCTCAAATTAAAAGTTTTCATTTCAACATTTAATATCAATTGACAGAATTAAAGTCTGTTTGTATTTACGATCCCCTATTCATTGGATTGAAATTCTAACTGTTCCATTTTTTCTGCAGATTAATGAAGCGAAGACTAACGGTTTTAAATTGGGTATTGATAGCAGTAATAGTTTTCCCTTTGACCAGGTAAACTTGGGGTATCTGTTTACACGGTAATTTTATACAGGTGTAATACAGTCTCTATGTACATAATTATGATAGGATAGCACAGAATAAACAGTCACTAGGAACAGTAGGTATGTTACTTACATTGTACTTAATGTTTTACACCTTTATTACTGTAAACACATATTTTATGTCTTAATAGAAATAATACCACATCGTTTTCTTTTTTATAGAGTATAATTATTACGTTGCTTTCATTTCTTCAAATGGTCATTATATAAGAATCTATATTATTTTGATGATATATTACGTATAACATCTTTTGAAATTCCGAAACAAGAAGAAATTAATCAAATCATAGTGAGAAATCCTTTTAGTCTGAGACTACTATAACACAGTGTTATAGTAGTCTCAGTTTTAGTTTAGTATTGAGTTTCAGTATCAAATAATTGAGCAGGGCATCGCACATCACGAGGTCCATTAGAACTGTTAAAAAATGAAATGTTTCTCTAAAAATAAAAATAAATAGAATGAAACAAAAAATACAAATACAATAAAACCTTATATTGTAAATATTTAGTGAATGAAACTATGTGCGGTGATAGGTCATAGACACTTCATTTTACGTAGGAAACTAGTTTTTGTTCTTGCTATTATTATTTTTTAGGGGGGGGGGGGGGGGGGGGGGGGGGGGGGTAGAATGAAAGATCGACAAAAACACGAGACTACCGTTCAATCATCGACTATATTTAAAAATAAACATTAAATAAAAAAAAAACGAGGAAGAATAGTAGTATTTTTTAAAGGCAAATGCCACCAGTGGTTGATAATTTTCATATTAGTACATGTAAATGAATTATATAATCTAAGTCGTTAATTAATTCATTTAGAAATAACATGACTCTTGGCAAGTGTTAATGTGATTAATTTTCTTTGGAATAAAAGTTCAATTTACTTTTTACAGTATTCAATAATAAGTACTTTAATTCTACTTATACTTTCAATAGACTTTAATATATTTTTAAGAGGTCTTTCTTGTCACGTATCCATAATATGTCTTATTTTGAACTTTAATGCGTCTATTGAAATCAGTGGTGAGAGAATTAAATAATGTAGACAGGAAAGAATTGATCTATATTAATTTAAGAAAGAATTTAGCGGTGTTCATGAAAAAGCCTTTTTTATCCTTGATGTTCTAGTTATGGTGCTAATATGATCTAAATTAGTAAAAATAGTGAGAGCAGAAAAACTCGTTAAATCCCACCACAGGCAAGAGTTCCATATGGCACCACACCATTACTAAATGAACACAATAAAATATCACAATTTCTTTCGTGGGGTAAAATATTCAAATGTTATGCAAGTAACAATAAGACTATCTAGCCAAAAAAAGTTGTTTGTTTACGTTTTTACTAGCGGAATACAACCACCTTCTTGGTTTCGTGGTACCACGTTTGGTCAGAGTACGCAAACCAATAAATAGCCAAGGTATATTTTCTGCTCTCTGTTGTACATTCAGGAGTTAGAGTAGACTAACGAGTTCAGTGTGATGTATGTCTTTCTTGTGATCTATATTGAAAAGGAGGTGTATGATTGATTCCCGATGAAAAAAATATTCCATCTAAGACAAAATAACGTAGCTGTAAGCATCAATAGGTCACCGTACGGTCATTAACAATGAGTAAAAACCCATACCATATGTTAAGCTCTGTTTTTGTTAATTAACTTGATTTGTATCTTCGTATCGGATTTATGTAATTTGAAAATTTGAAAATCTGTTAACTTTTATGGCCTTTATCTATGCTTAAACAATACACCATACACATATATGGCAGACAGCATCCAACAACAACAATGACTGAACAACGACTGCTGGCTTTGGACAGACGTATAACTAATTATATATAATGTAATGTGGATTAATATGAGACCGACATAAGAACAACCGCAGTTACTAGCTAATTCAAAGCAAATTACAACACATAAATAAATCATGTTTTCCCAGACTAAAATATCAATCAGTCCAATCCAACCGTTTTATCGTCAAGACTTACATGCTTCAGAAAAGCATGACATTGTGCAAAATTTATATGTGTGACCATACATTTTCATAGCTGTATAGCAGTACATTTATATTTTATTATGTTTTAATTTATGAAGAACAAAATCGATGTAAGTACCGATAGACAATATTCAAAAATCTAGCAACATTGATAGATTATAATAACATTTCAGAAACGTTAATTTAAAGATTCAATCAGTTAATTAACTCTTAACATTTCAACTCTACTCCTCATCAACTCTTCTCTACTCCTCGACGTAGACACAGTCATGGTCATCGACATTAAACATCACCTACTCTCCAACATGTATCTATTAAAGATCTGCTGCCATTTATACAAAAGCCGTTTATAATAGGTATTCATCACATTCGCACGAAGCTTTATTCATTACCACTTTCAAAACTTAATTCTCTGTACAACTTATGTTTGGAAACCACTTTCTAAAACTTTCCTTTGCAAACAAAGGTCTCGAGCCATCAACTTGGGCAATATCCTTCATCATAAATCAGTTCACTCGAAAATACCTCCCTATTTTAAAGACCAGTCTGTACCTATCATTTCTTATACCTATACCAATCCAATTGCAACTAAGATTTTTAACTACGAACACTTGTTGCATGATCTCAATATTGACGACTTCACGTCTAAAGGTACCTCCTGGTTGCACCTGTGCTAGTTCTCATTCATATATAATCCGACTGGCCACGTTATTACTGATGACCTAAACATTGACAATAACACTTCTCTGCGAAATATGTTATCCAAAGGCCCGAAATATAGTGAGCCCAAATCCATCAATTGGAAACACAACTTCAAAACACTGATTGGTTCAATCGAGGATTATGTCAGGCAATGAGTTACACGCGAGAAAGAAGACGTAGATACTTTTTCCGAGTGGAGTAAGGCTGTGGGGTCGTTGATACAAATCAGAATTAAGACACTGAATGGGTCTATGAATGCCCATGCTACATCAATCTTTAAAGACCCAAATGTTGCAAAACACCTGTCCTACCACCATGACAAATATGTTGTTGTTCCCGCAGATAAAGCCCCAAACAATATCGTTTTCGTGTGTAAATCACATTACATAAATTGCTTGATAAATGAATTAGGTATTGACAATTTAATTGCAAAATCAACATATACCCCTCGACACTTACCAAGGAAGAAATCCTGGATAATCATAGGTCTGTTCTATGTTCATTTGGAATTTCAACCAAAAAAGACGAAGAACTAGATCTTCCTGCACTGTATTGGATACCTAAACTACATAAGTGTCCTTACAAACAACGTTATATTCCTGGGTCTTCCAAGTGCTCCACGAAACCTCTTTCTCAAAAGTTATTGTGCAACTACTTATTCTAGATGCGGATGCTAAAAAATTCCTAAGATCTTTTAGAGTAAATACAATCTAAGACTCTTTCAGCTTGTAATAATATTGAAACATTTGACTTTTCATCACTTTACACAAGTATTCTTCATTACAAACTAAAATACAAATTGAAAGAGTTGGTCCTGCTATGTTTCATAAAAAAAAAATGGCCAACGTAGATACAAGTATCTTATCTTCGGGAGGGACAATTCGTACTATGTGAAAAAATCACTCTGATTCAAACAAACAATTATCTGAACTGACATTATCAAGATGAATCGGCATTCCCATGGGAACTAACTGTGCTCCTCGTCTTGTCGACTTGTTCCTTTATTCATATGAGGCTGACTTCATTCAGGAACTTCTTAGGAAGAAAGAAAAGAAGTTAACAGTATTCTTTAAATTCACTTTCCGCTATATAGATGATGTTTTCTCACTAAATAATTGAAAATTTGGTGATTATGTTCAACGCATTCATCCCATCGAACTTGAGATAAAGGATACAACAGATACAGTAAAGTCTGCCTCATATCTTGACTTACATCTATAAATTGACAATGAGGGTCGGTTGAAAACAAAACTTTGAGAAAAATCAGCTTCCCAATTGTGAACTTTCCATTTTTATGTAGCAACATTCCAGCAGAGTCTGCATACGGAGTTTATATCTCCAAGTTGATACGATATTCCAGGGCTTTTATCAACTAATCATTATTTCCTTGATAGAGGGTTGCTGCTCACAAGGAAGCTATTAAACAAAGAATTCCAAGTGTAGAAGTTGAAATCATCCCCTCGTAAAATTTAGATCATTTTACGGACGCTATCACGAGTTGGTTGACCGTTATGGAATATCTGTTTCACAGATGACAAATGATATGTTTCAATTGTCATAACTACAATCCCGTTCCCCTTTCCCCGAGTGTGACCTGCCGAATTAGAATTGTCTCCGGTTTGTACTAACATGATCAACACGACCGATGCCACATGTGGAGCAGGATCTGCTTACCCTTCCGGAGCACATGAGATCACCCCCAGTTTTTGATGGGGCTCGTGTTGTTCAGTCTTTAGTTCTCTATGTTGTGTTTTGTGTACTGTTGTTCGTCTGTTGGTTGTTTTTTTTCTTTAGCCATGGCGTTGTCAGTTTATTTTCGACTTGTGAGTTTGAATGTCGCTTTTGGTATCTTTCTCCTCTCTTTAACATGGATCGTTTCTAAAGTTACGGGCCCTATTAACATTAACAAGCTTATAATTCGACTTGTACAAAAAAATAGGGAGACATTCATATCGCATTTACATCTTCTTGTCAGTTATCTGCATCAATTCAAACGACCACTCAAACTTGCCTCGAGTCGTTTGTCATTTGTCCCCGGGCTCCGGCAAGGTCAAACTAGACTTCAAAATTGGAATTAGCTGTTTCTCCGCTTAGCACGTAGCATTTAGGCTTAAGAATGTTCGCTACTCTGTTTCAAAATAACAAGCATTTGAAAAGATTGTTATAAATAGAGAGTATATAAATAAAGGAACTAAAAAAGCAGAAAAAAATTAAGGGTCCGTGTGCTTGTTTTCGAGATATAAGCCATTAAAAATTTGGCGGGAAGTGATTCTCTCTAGATTTTCCATACATTTAATATTGGCACCTTTTTTCTTTCAAAAACTGTGAAAAAATAAGAATTTTATAAGATTTCATAATGTATCCTGGTATGATATGTCTTCCTGTGGACTGTTACCTTGTGAACTACTAGCAGTACGATACAAATCCTGCTCAGTGTGTCTGTATAGTACAAAGCAGGGTTCATATTGCTAATAACATATTCACGTCCTGATATGCAAGTAATAATTTAGAGAATGTACCACCATATTAAGAAGCAAATCAGTTATTGCATACACGTCAAATTATGCATTTATAAGTTTTGGTCGAGAAATTAATATACAGTATACACTGGATCCGCCATGGATTTTTATTGGTTTATTTGTAGTTGTTTTTGTGTATCAACTCATTTGTATAGCACTGTTTCATTATCTAGGGAAAGGAAGATAAGAAGAAGACATGGGACTGCTTAAACGTCTTTTTGAAGAACTTCCAGATGACGTCATCTGTTCTCTCTGTAACGAGGTTTTCCTTGACCCAAGAGTTTTGCAGTGTAACCACATGTTTTGCAGCGCGTGCTTAGTACGCAGATCTGCAAAATTAAAGGCTGATATCTGTCCAACATGCGAAACGCCTTACCATGGGCCTTCTTGTAGACAAGCTGACGAGGGATTCAAGTTAAAACTACTGAACCTTAATGCTATATGTAACTACAAATGTGGCATGAAAATTAAAATGGCGCATCTACCAGAACATCTTAAAGACGAATGTCAACAAGCACCAGTGTCATGTCCCAATGCGATCAAAGGATGTAAGAAAAAGGTGAAACGGTGTGATCTGAATAAACACATTGACGAATGCAATTTTCGAGTTGTAACTTGTGAAGCATGTGGGCATGTAACTATTTTCCAAGACCTTTTCACACACCAAAGTAGAAAAAAATGTCTAGAGCGTAAGCTTAAACAACAAGTTATAAGGGAATTAAGACATGCTCATCACGAAGTAATAAACCACAGGTCAAATGTCAAAAGAGATCATATACGCCTAGACATAGAACAAACCAAGAGAGTACTCCAACATGCCCGTTATCTCCAAGAACGAAAACATAAACTCCATCAGTTACTGCTTTCACAAAACAATAATGATGCCATAAACAGTGAATCTGAAGACAGTTTTTTCTTGACCGACCTAGAAGAATTGAAAAACAAAGATAAGTCTTTATCCTCAACTCCTGTTCACTCTAGATCTACGGTTGGATCACAGCAGTGTGATAGGTGCCTTAAGCATTTCTTCCCAGGAAAGAACCATGGAAATTCTTGTCGGTGGCATGAAGGGGTACGTATACATTTCGAAAATATTTTTTGTAATGATCAAACATCTCACACGTTGTTAATTGTCAGTAGAATGCATCTAAAGGGTTTCAAATATTACATTCTGATACTATGTTTTTTGTTGTAGAAAGACAAACCATTCAGTCGATTATGTAAAAAAAATGCGACTCAGTGTCATACAAATGAGAGGTTTAGCTAGCTATAAAACCAGGTTTAATCCACCATTTTCTACATAAGGAAATACCTGTACCAAGTCAGGAATATGACAGTTGTTTTCCATTCGTTTGATGTGTTTGAGCTTTTGATTTTGCCATTTGATGAGGAACTTTCCATGATGAATTTTCCTTGGAGTTCGGTATTTTTGTTATTTTACTTTTTACTTCAATTTAAAATATTCATTCTTTTTCTTTTCATGTATTCTACAGCCGGTAAGTTTATGTTTATCTTATTTTACATAAGTAATTAGTTCCATCTGAATTTACCAATGAGGTTAATTATGTTTTATTTTTGCATTTGTTTTTAATATTTTCAAACTGATTTTCTGTTATAGTTCAAAAATTAAATTACAACCATATACTAGTATAATGTATTGTCTGAAGTCTCCTTTAATGCTTCAATTAAACCCATATAAATTTTGACGACAGAAGTTTATTTATAATTTTGCCAAACACATATTTATCCTGTACTATGAATAAAGCGTCTGTGGTGAAAATTATCCAATTTAGTTACTATCTATTTGGTAAAAGTCATAAAAGTATTATCACATATTGTGTCTATTTAATTGTTGGTTTTTAAACGACATTAAACGGGCAAGTCATTTGGTTTTATGAACAAGATCGAAACGCCAACACTCAGTCAAAGTTAAGATGACAGATGTGAGAAAATTATTCAGTATGACATGACGAATGAATATTTTTATGCAATCATCAGCATCAACACAAGTAATAGACAAAACGATTACTGAGGTATGCATAATACAAGGCTTGGAAAATTCAATAAATTGAGAATGGAAATGGGGAATGTGTCAAAGAGACAACAACCCGACCAAAGAGCAGAAAACAGTCGAAGGCCACCAATGGGTCTTCAACACAGCGAGAATATCCCGCACCCGGAGGCGGGCTTTAGCTGGCCCCTAAACAAAAATGTGTACTAGTTCAATGAAAATGAAAAATACATATAAACACTTGGAACTATCATATACATAAAATAAGTGTAATTGTGTTAAATTATACATCTAAAAAAATGTCTTCATTTTCCTCAAAGACTGATTAATTGGTTGTTAGTGTTTAACGCCACTTTCAGCACTATTGGCTATATCGTGGCGGCCAATTTTAATTGGTGGAGGAAGCCGAAATGCCGGAGAGAACCACTGATCTACGGCAGGAAAACTGGTACTCCTAGTCAGTTAAGCATTAAAGATCGGAGTCGAACATACCTGCCACATGCTAGGTTCGAACTCACAACCTCAGTGATGACAGGCTAGTCATTGCTGTAGATAAACTACTGAGATAACTCGGCCACTCTTTTTCTTCAAAGAATAGAAAACTACAAATGCATAAAAAGGAGGCAGAACATACCAAAGGAAAATCAAAACTCACAAAGTGAGACCAACAAAATCGTGGCAAAAAGAAAAACAACAAAAAACGAAAAAAAACAAAAACAACAGTATACAAAATCCTACACATAAAATTAAAATCTAACCAGCATGAACCCCGGGTCAATATCAGGTACTCTGGAATGGTTAACCCATTCTGCTTCACATATGGCACCTTACGTTTTGCACATGGTAATTAAAAGTTCGGTGTTGAGTCTCATTCGGTGATGTCACAATCGGGGAAGAATGACTTCAAAATCTGATATATCCGTGGTCAACTATGACACAGATATACCAAAACGGTCAAACACCTCATGATGGCGGCTGTAAACTTCCGAAGGGATGACTTCAGTTTTACCACTAGGAATCATTTGTTCAATAGCTTCCTTACTTTAATAGGATAGTTGGCAACGTAACCTGTAATATTATTTTGCTGAAAAAGAAATGTGTATCTTAAATTAATTGGATGTCTAATAATAAAATTGAGAATGGAAATGGGGAATGCGTCAAAGAGACAACAACCCGACCATAGAACAGACAACAGCAGAAGGTCACCAACAGGTCTTCAATGCAGCGAGAAATTCCCGCACCCGGAGGCGTCCTTCAGCTGGCCCCTAAACAAATATATATACTAGTTCAGTGATAATGAACGCCATACTAAACTCCAAATTGTATACAAGAAACTGAAATTAAAAATAATACAAGACTAACAAAGGCTAGAGGCTCCTGACTTGGGACAGGCGCAAAAATGCGGCGGGGTTAAACATGTTTATGAGATCTCAACCCTCCCCCTATACCTCTAGCCAATGTAGAAAAGTAAACGCATAACAATACGCACATTTAAATTCAGTTCAAGAGAAGTCCGAGTCTGATGTCAGAAGATGTAACCAAAGAAAATAAACAAAATGACAATAATACATAAATAGCAACAGACTACTAGCAGTTAACTGACATGCCAGCTCCAGACTTCAATTAAACTGATTGAAAGATTATGTCTTCATCATATGAATATCAGGCACAATCCTTCCCGTTAGGGGTTTAGTATCATACCATATATGAGAAGAACATAACCCGTGTCATGCCAACAACTGGTTTTTAAATGAATGTGTTTAGTGCCGATGCAAAGACCTATTATGTCTATTAGTATTAACGTGTATTTTTTTTTCTTTCATGTTACTTGAATTGACGACTTATACAGATTGTAAGTATTTTTACAAAACTCGTATATCTTTTCTTTAGTAAAGGATTATAACATCCTTGTAAATTGTTCAAGGAACTTTCCATCTGACAAGAGAATATCATTTCAAGTTTACTCGCAGATTATTTATTGTTCTTGAACACAAGTTGTATGAGAACTAGGAAAATTAAGCGAAATAAATTTCAACAATTTTCATGTGAATATTTCACATGAGATTTAACATCAGAATAATCCTATATACAACGATGGAGACAACATAAATTTATGCTTTCCACTTGATTGCAAAAATGGTTCTTACTCAGAATAATTCTGATTAAATAATCAACTTAAAGAGGGCAACAGAAATGTTATGCATTATCAGTATGACCATTTAACTTTTATTAATGGATGTTTTGGGCTTTTACTCCATTGAAAAGGTAAAAACCGCGTTTACAATTAAACACATGGCCAAGCATTATCATGCCCCACCTCAGCGATAGTTGGGAGCGTTATGTTTTTTTTTGTCCTCCGTCTTTGCTCGGTTGTCCGTACAGTATCAAGTTCAAGTTTTGGTTTAAGGTAATTAACCTTAGTACACAAGTGAATTCTAATGTGAGCTTTTTAAAAATATGTGTCAAATTAGGATTTGATCCAGGTTTCACTGAACATGGAAATGTATTATTGTGAAATAAGTAATATATTCTCATGGTAAAGTGTCGTTTAAGGTTGCTTAATAATTGTATCAATGTATCCCGTTTCTACGTAGCAACTTACCCTCTGCCCCATCTTATAGTGCTCACATATCTCACTTTGCGCATTAGAACATTACGATCGTGCATGTTCAGACTGCATGGACGTCATTAACAGGGATGTGCTCTTGATACAAACACTGGTCCAATAGAGTTATGAGGAAGAACGACAAAAGCGATATGCACTACGTACATTAACTTAACGGTCACTATCACAAATTAGTTACATGCATAGATATATCAATGTCTAAACTAACCAGCGACATGTTTTAGCGGCCTTTTATCTGTATGTACCAGAAAAATCGTCTGATCGGTAAATTTACTGATTATGTCATATTCCCGAGTGTGGATTCGCATGGCGGGTGATTCATTTATAGCAGGATACATCTACACTACTGCATTCGGTCTCGCTTTTTTTTTAAGGTCACGCGAATTCCTTAGTTTTTTTTTACCTTGATTAGTGTCTTCTTAATGAATTAAAGAGATTTGAACATCGATAAACATGTGAACTTTCTAAAAAGATATATACTAAAATATGGTTTTGACCCAGATTTTCGGTTTCACTGATTATGGAAATGTGTGTGATAGTGTGAGAGGGGTAAGGTGTCGTATAGACACACATCCTTACTTTGGATATAGATTTGAACGAGATATTTACCAATGACCGTTGAGTAACCAAGTAATTGTCAATCAAATTGTCGTATTTCCAGTACTAGAAGTAAGCTATAGACTGTATATCTTATGGAATATTGTTATACCAAATTTGGGTAATGAATTATATATTTTCTTTTTCATATCCTGCTACGAACAGGTACCGGTAAGTCAATGTATCAGTAATATTATTGATTAAACTGGGACTATTGCGAGAAGTCACTGCTAGAAAAATATATAACACCACAGCGTCAACTTAATAATATCATTAAGCTATAGTAAGCTCTCATAAACACAATGTTTAAAGGTAACACTTATCAATTAAAACAAAGGTTTTATAATCTGTAAGGATAGACATTACTTTATGGCTATCAATATTTTTCTGACGTGGATACGCCAGCTTTGTAAACAAATAGTTGTTTGCTAACTGCAGTCTCTAACATCAACAATACAATATTGAAATTTATAATATATATAAAAAGGTGAACTTTGATCGATCAACGTTGAACTCTAGTTGTAGTTAATTTGAACATGCAATTGACTGTAATTTGATAAAAATAAGGAGATTAAAATCATCCTCCTTGAAAGGAGATGAAACAAACTTTAGTATGGGAAATTGAAAATGCAATATGTAACCGTTTGTGATAAACCTTACGGTGCCAAACGTGGAGCAGGATCTGCTTACCCTTCCAGGAACACTTGAGACCACCTTCTGTTTTTGGTTGGGTTCGTGTTGCTCAGTGTTTAGTGTTTTCAATGTTGTGTTTTGTAGACTTTTTTTTATCTTTTCGTCGTTTTTCGTGTTTTGTCAAGGCGTTGTCAGTTTGTTATCGACTTATGAGTTTGAATATTCCTTTAGTATCTTACAAGTCTCTTTTTTAAAGACTTTATTTGAAATAATATATATTCAAGTTAATATTATAAGTTTTTGCAGTTGCAAAAAAAATAATATGATACATTTGCACATAAAATTTTGTCATTTGTCATTTGAAAGATCATTTTGACTATTTACTGTTATATGAAAATAACATAGTATTCAGTAAAGATAGAGATACATCTTTAGACTATTAATGTCTAAGTTTTTCTCTTTCATTTCATATTCCACTGAATCTGACTGACGAAACAGCTTTTTGTGAGTAGCTTTAACTTTCAGTAACATATCATGTTGGGTATACAATATAACCATTTATATATACAAATATACAATAATTGATTTTATGAATCAAACGTACGATTTGAACAAAGTTTAAAAATATATTAAACAAACATTTTCTACAATCAAAAGTACATTCTATATTAAATTGGAAACATAATCTGTAAATAGTTCAAAGTCTCTGAGTGTGACAAGTGTAACAATACAGTATTACTGATATTTCCTTTATTTTTTTCATATGCTGTTCCTATGAATTCATCAACAGGGGGTAAGTTTTTATTCGTTTCTGTGAACGTTTTTTCAATCATATTTAAACATATAAAATTCCAATTACGTCATGTAAAATGTATATGCAAATCTTTTTAAGATTAAAATGGTATGAAAAGTACAAGAAAAGCACAAAATCGTTTCAACTCTGAATTGAATTTACATATTCAATTTGTTGAAAACATCATAAAAATAAAAATAAAAAATTAATACACTAAATGTCAAATTGAACACAAGATGCTTGCCAACATATTTGTTAATCATACACGAATCACCATATTTTTCTTGCCAAAATAGTAAAAACTAACATTTAGTGTTAACCATCGTCATAATTTATAACAAAATAATTTCAACCTTGCGCATACTTTTTACATCGCAATGACCGTGAGGGCATTCCGATGTATTGCTATCGCCTAGATTTCCATTACATAACTTTCGTTTTGGGTTTGTAACCGATCTATAAACATGATAAATACGCGGATATTAACGAGTGCAAATTAACATTCCTTATCGTTTGTTATAAATACATCTCTTCAATGAATACTGATAAAAATATTTTTGTTTAGAATATAAATTAATAATATGAAAATGTTTTTTCGTTAGATATATATATATATATAAGTAAAAAATCATTGATAATATATATGCACACGTACCGAAAAATTGTGTTATAGAATGCGGAAGAATATCTCAAGAACGTTTTGCGACAATCCCGGCAAGGACCGGTAACTCTGTAATTGTTTTTGCGGGAAAATATGAATGCCTACTCGTATCAAATCTTTTAGAAAAATCGAATTTTTACAGAAGAGTGTCCACCATGCACTTGCACTACACTATTATTAGAATAGTATAATAGAATGATATACAAATGGATGAAAATTATATATATATGTAACTGTTATATTAATATAATATATAACAACAAACTAGTGTATACTGATTTGTATCACTACAATATAATAGTTATTACGGTGAGGTTGAATTTCCTGTCATTTATTCATCACTATTATATTTTAGTGATACAAATCAGTATACTCTGGTTTGTTGTTATATATTATATTAATATTTGTATAATTTATAATAGTTACATGTATATATAATTTTCATTCATTTGTATATAATTCTATTCTACTATTCTAATAATACCGCTACATTGACAACAACACTTAAGTAAACTGCATCTTTTATTGTTGACATGTTTCTCCGATTATACCGGCGTCATCAGGACAATACAGTTCAGCTTGTTTATCTGACAACCCTGCATACTATCTGGTATCCACTTAAGGGAACTCTACCAGCACAAAACATAGGAGGCGTTGGTTCAGCAGCTCTTTATTTATTCTAAAAATAGTGCAGTGCAAGTGCATGGTGGACACTTCTGTAATAATAATTCAATTTTTCTAATAGATTGGATTTGAGTAGGCATTCATATTTTCCCGCAAAACGTTCTTCAGATATTCTTCCGCATGCGTTAATACAATTTTTCTGTACGTGTGCATAGATATTAATGATTTTTTTACTTATATATATATTTCTAACGACAAAACATTTTCATATTATTAATTTATGTTCTAAAAAAAATATTTTTATGAGTATTCATTGAAGAAATGAATTTATAACAAGTGATAAGGAATGTTATTTTGCACTCGATAATGTCCGCATATTTATACGATCGGTTACCAGTCAAAAACGAAAGTCAAATCTCTGTGGCAACAATACATCAGAATGCCCTCACAGTCATCGCGATGTAAAAATATATAGCAGTAGTCCACATACGACTTTAAAATCTAGTTAAGTTTACAGTGTAATGTTTGATTGTTAACATAGATCTAGTATATATGAAGTGAAATATTCAGTTGAATAAATGTAAAATTAAAGTAATTAAATGAAATAATTTGTGTTTCAATTTAACAATTTTCTTTTGTTTTTTCATATTATCTGCTGTTCAACATTTCAACCAATCAGGGTGTAAGTATTATAATTGTCCTCTTTCATTATATTCAGATTACGGTTGTTCAACAACAGAACATCATTATCTAATCAATAAATGTATTCCTCTTGATACTATAATTTTCGGTACTTTTCACATAATAGTATGCATATGGAGCATGATATTTTAGAATTTCCAACAGCTTAAGCATCATTCCAAATTTTAGTCAGATTAATTTATATCCTTCTCTTGATGCTTATTACATTTCATGATAACTGGTCTTTTTTTTAAGTTCAAAGGAAAATTTGCAAAGATGGTGTTCATACAGACGAACAGACATTCCAATACACCCACCTAAAGAAATTGTTTTCAAGGGGATTAAATCAAGATTCTTGTCCTAGGGTGATGAAGTATGCAGATAATAGTCTATGTTCCTCTCTATCAGTGTATAGTGTTCAATACTAGAGGCTTCAAGGAGCCTGTGCCGCTCACCTGTCAATTTTGCACAAAATTGATACAATGCAATGAGAATATTTCAAATAGTTTCCAGATAAAAACAGGAAAAAAGTATCATCCGTCAAGGGCAACACCTCATATAAGGAATAGACTGATGATTTCATGCATATTAACTGATTTGTAGTTAAGTGTCCAGCTGATAATTTTAGCTTTTTTTCAGTTTCTCACCATCTACTATAGTTTACACCCAAAATGCAAAATGATCATTCAGTAGACAGTCAATTATCCTACTAAAAAATACTGCCTGTTTAACTGGATTTATCATTCAGATTTACTTTGAGATAACCTTGTTGTTATGAGCAGAGACATGTAGTACAAACTGTTTGTGTCTGTTTTGAGAAATAAATTAACCAGTATTTATATTCTATTATTCTATTTACAGACATGTCAGTTTTGTGGAAAAGTAGACTATCGGCCTGGATGCATGTCTGGATATCATGAATGTGAATGAATTTGGTGCACCTTTGAGAGAATTGCCTCCTGTTGAGCAAACTATTGATATCAGCATTACTATTATTTTACTCTAGAAACTTACTATATTTACTTAGTTTAGATATATAAATAACTATACCTCTTATTTGTTTGTATCTATTTATTAGTTATTGTTAGTTCATTTTATACACCTATACTATTGTATAACATAGTGGCAAAAGAATAAAAAATATTAACTTTAATAGTACCGTTTTCTGTAATTCTCCTAACTCAACATGACACGTCACATTGAAATTATGTGGTCCATCTACTTAATTTGCCAAAACCATACTTTATTATCTGCCAGGTTATCCAATATATATCTTAATGTGCCCTGTGATTGTCTAAATGTTTGTATTTTTTTTACAAAGATATTGTTTAATTATGAAAGTGTTTGTTAAATTGCATTGCCTGTTATAAACTGAAATATGTTTATTAACTGTTGAAAGTTACTCACCTCAATGTCAGTCTTTAATGCAAAAGTGTTACATTACTAATTTAAGAATTCTACCCTTATCATTGCATTCAGTGAGGTGTTAGTTTTTTTATCTCTGTGGAAGACTTCATAAATACTTAGAGTTGAAGAACAGGAATAAAAGTACAGTTTCTTTTCTTAAGGTTTGTCAAATGTATGTAGGGGTTTTAGGTTAATATGTATATATCAAATCCATACTTTTCAAGTATTCTAAAACAATGTGTGAGCTACTACATTTGAACTATACATAAATCTTGAACTGTCTGTTAAGTTAAGTAGAAATTAATCTCCTACTTCTAGAAGCATCCTACCAAATGTACATCTATACTCTACATGGATCTACTAATGTACTAAGTTTCATCTACATTCAACAAACCATGTAATAATTATTGTTGCAAGATTTCCTTTCTTAAAATCCATGGCAAAAAATGAAGATAAATTTGTTAGGAGTTTTTGTACTTTTACACATTTATTTCAAAGCCCTCCTCTTTTCAAGTACATGTCCACTGAGACAGCTTTTTTACAATACAGTTCAGCTTGTTTGTCTCTTTGATATAACAGTAATGTAGCTATTGGTTGGTTCTTTAAGCTTCCCGTTTACTTATTATGTAACACAGTCTTTCACATCATGGCATTTTTATACCTGAATCTTAAATTCACTTAGTTTGCTAAATACATGACTGTTCATCTGCATAATCTGAGTGAGTCAATATCAGAGGTCATCAACTTCATCTAATGTATACTTTAGTATACTGTCATTACCTTGAAACAGGAAGTAACCGGAAAACTTTTGACCTTTTAGATACAGTGGAAACCATAATTTATCATCAGGCCACATCTTATCAAATGGAATATTAGTGGTATCAAACCACTCTGGTCTCATCTCTGAAAATGGATAAAAAATTTTATTACATATTGATATATAATGAATATAGTGGTTCAATGTGTTTTCTTCATGATGTTGAAGGAATGAAGTGTTACCTTTTTGAATAGCAATCCAATTGTTTTTTGTTGTTCAAAATGGGGGAAAAAATCATATGTACATAATTAGACAAAAGGCAATCTGACCATCATTAATAGTCTTCTGCTACCATAAATCAGCCGGATAAGGCATTTTCCAATCTATTGCACTTATAAAAGAGAGGCGAAAGATACCAAAGAGACATTCAAACTCATAAGTCGAAAAAAAACTGAATGCCATGGCTAAAAACAGAAAAAGACCAACAGACAAACAACAGTACACAAAACACAACAAAGAAAACTTAAGACTGAGCAACATGAACCCCACCAAAAAACTGGCAGTGATCTCGGTGCTCCAAAAGGGTAAGCAGATCCTGCTCCACATGTGCCATCCGCTGTGTTGCTCATGTTAGTACAAACCTGGTGATAAGTCTTATTCGGTAGGTCACATTCAGGGAAAAGCAGCACATTCACCAAAATAGGCAGTTTTTTCAAAGATAATGAACAAGAATTATGGATGGATACCCCATATCCTTTGTTTTTCTATTAAGAATAAACAGCTGAAACTAAAATTACTTTTCTGAGTAAATTATCGATCCTGTATGCATTTTTCATTTATTTGTGTTTTTCAATTGCACCAGATCCATGTAACCTATTATCAGCTAAATGGAAAGTTACCATAATGTAATATGATTGGCAGCGGCACCTGATTACTATTTGCCTATAGCCTGTTTTAACATCCAAGTTTGAAACACCATACATGGAGTTGACACTAACTTGGATGTACAATACGTGTCCTTCAAAAATGAAATTCTTCAGAAATACCCCAGGGCAAACACCTGGACAGGAAAACACGTAACTGTTTGAAGTATGAAATATAGATCGAGGGTATAATTAATGCATATAAAAAGGTGAACTTTGATCGATCAACGTTGAACTCTAGTTGTAGTTAATTTGAACATGCAATTGACTGTAATTTGATAAAAATAAGGAGATTAAAATCATCCTCCTTGAAAGGAGATGAAACAAACTTTAGTATGGGAAATTGAAAATGCAATATGTAACCGTTTGTGATAAACCTTACGGTGCCAAACGTGGAGCAGGATCTGCTTACCCTTCCAGGAACACTTGAGACCACCTTCTGTTTTTGGTTGGGTTCGTGTTGCTCAGTGTTTAGTGTTTTCAATGTTGTGTTTTGTAGACTTTTTTTTTATCTTTTCGTCGTTTTTCCTGTTTTGTCATGGCGTTGTCAGTCTGTTATCGACTCATGAGTTTGAATAATCCTTTGGTATCTTACAAGTCTCTTTTTTAAAGACTTTACTTAAAATAATATATATACAAGTTAATATTATAAGTTTTTGCAGTTGCAAAAAAAATAATATGATACGTATGCACATAAAATTTTGTCATTTGTCATTTGAAAGATTTTGACTATTTACTGTCATATGAAAATAACATAGTATTCAGTAAAGATAGAGATACATCTTTAGACTATTAATGTCTAAGTTTTTCTCTTTCATTTCATATTCCACTGAATCTGACTGACGAAACAGCTTTTTGTGAGTAGCTTTAACTTTCAGTAACATATCATGTTGGGTATACAATATCACCATTTATATATACAAATATACAGCAATTTATTTTATGAATCAAATGTACGATTTGAACAAAGTTTAAAAATATATTAAACAGACATTTTCTACAATCAAAAGTACATTCTATATTAAATTGGAAACATAATCTGTAAATAGTTCAAAGTCTCTGAGTGTGACAAGTGTAACAATACAGTATTACTGATATTTCCTTTATTTTTTTCATATGCTGTTCCTATGAATTCATCAACAGGGGGTAAGTTTTTATTCGTTTCTGTGAACGTTTTTTCAATCATATTTAAACATATAAAATTCCAATTACGTCATGTAAAATTTATATGCAAATCTTTTTAAGATTAAAATGGTATGATAAGTACAAGAAAAGCAAAAAATCGTTTCAACTCTGAATTAAATTTACATATTCAATTTTTTGAAAACATCTTAAAAATAAAAAAAAAATGAATACACTAAATGTCAAATTGAACACAAGATGCTTGCCAACATATTTGTTAATCATACACGAGTCGCCATATTTTTCTTGCCAAAATAGTAAAAACTAACATTTAGTGTTAACCATCGTCATAATTTATAACAAAATAGTTTCAAACTTGCGCATACTTTTATACACACAACCAGCTATGGGTCCAGTGTGCAGTTTTCCTCGGAGTTCAGTATTTTTGTGATTTTACTTTTTATGTATAATGCAACTTGCATGTTAGCTGTAATTGGACGTGTCTGCTCTAACGATGAAATATAAAGAGCCCTGGGGTGCATGTAACCAAACCTTTCTGTAATGATACACATACGAAAGTCAAGGATTTTTTGGCGATTTTGATAAAACTTTTAATAACTACAAAGAAGTGACCTTAATGACTTTCCATATCAGAGGTAAAGGGGCAACATATGCACAAAGTATACCAGAGAGCAGTCATTAGAACGTTTATTTGTTAGAAAACACTGCAGATCAATGGTGTAATTTGTTTCTGTGATATTTCCTATAAATAATAACAGTAGGTGTGTGTATCATGGTGTCAGTTTGGTATAACTAAACATCTGTCTCCGAAATCAGCCCTTCACTTACGATAAAATTGAATTGTGGTAATGGGTAAAATAATTGAGTCCTAGTTCCATGGCATTGTCTTATACATCCACATCCTTTTACCCCCCTTTCCTTGTGATATTCTATGGCTAACTTAGAATATATACACGTAGAGCAATGGGAACATCATGATCGATCCTAAATGAAAATAATGTTTAAAAACAGTGATTTTGACCCTGGTCTTGGGATTTATTTTTATCTGGTTCAAACAATAGATGAAAGATGTCGGCATGTGATGAAGGACAACAGTTAATCAAAGTACCGAAGTACTGAGCATCGGATGACTGCAAGTTCTTGTGGATGGCCGTCACAAGCACTTGTCTCAGAAAAAAAAACACATCTCTATACCTGAAAGTTAGGTTAATGTACAGAGATATATTTTTTTCTGAGACCAGTTCGTGCGTGGATGATGAATAAATGACAGGGAATTCAACCTCACCGTAATAACTATTGTAGTGATACAAATCAGCATACTCTGGTTTTTTGTTATATATCATATTAATATTTGTATAATTTATAACAGTTACATCTATATATAATTTTCATTCATTTGTATATAATTCTATTCTACTGTTCTAATAATAGTGCAGTGCAAGATAATGGTGGACACTCTTCAATAATAATTCGATTTTTCTAATAGATTGGATTTGAGTAGGCATTCATATTTTCCCGCAAAACGTTCTTCAGATATTCTTCCGCATGCGTTAACACAATTTTTCTGTACGTGTGCATAGATATTAATGATTTTTTTACTTATATATATATTTCTAATGACAAAACATTTTCATATTATTAATTTATGTTCTAAAAAAAATATTTTTATGAGTATTCATTGAAGAAATGAATTTATAACAAGTGATAAGGAATGCTATTTTGCTCTCGATAATGTCCGCGTATTAATACGATCGGTTACCAGTCAAAAACGAAAGTCAAATATCTGTGGCAACAATACATCGGAATGCCCTCACGGTCATCGCGATGTAAAAATATATAGCAGTAGTCCACATACGACTTGAAGTTAAGTTTACAGTGTAATGTTTGATTGTTAACATAGATCTAGTATATATGAAGTGAAATATTCAATTGAATAAATGTAAATGTAAATAAATGAAATAATTTGTGTTTCAATTTAACTATTTTCTTTTGTTTTTTTCATATTATCTGCTGTTCAACATCACAACCAATTAGGGTGTAAGTATTAATTGCCCTCTTCCATTATATTCAGATTACGGTTGTTCAACAACAGAACATCATTATCTAATCAATAAATGTATTCCTCTTGATACTATAATTTTCGGTACTTTTCACATAATAGTATGCATATGGAGCATGATATTTTAGAATTTCCAACAGCTTAAGCATCATTCCAAATTTTAGTCAGATTAATTTATACCCTGCTCCTGATGCTTATTACATTTCATGATAACTGGTCTTTTTTTCTAAGTTCAAAGAAAAATTTGGAAAGATGGTGGTTCATACAGACGAACAGACATTCCAATACACCCACCTAAAGAAATTGTTTTCAAGGGGATAAAATCAAGATTCTTGTCCTAGGGTGATGAAGTATGCAGATAATAGTCTATGTTCCTCTCTATCAGTGTATAGTGTTCAATACTAGAGGCTTCAAGGAGCCTGTGCCGCTCACCTGTCAATTTTGCACAAAATTGATACAATACAATGAGAATATTTCAAATAGTTTCCAGATAAAACAAGCATTCTGTGAGTATTGCATGGCAATACATAGTCCCCTACCGGTTAAAAATTCATTGTAATGGAACGAAATTCTAACTTGATCTATAACTTGTCATGGTGTAAACTACATAAAACTAGATAACATTGAGATGGGCCATCTCTGTGGGCCCCGCTGTGAATAATGTGTGGTCAAAAATTTGTATCTTTATCATTTGACATGGTGTTGGTTTATATACATGTCAAGTATAAACTTTGAAATCATAACGGTTCTCAAGATATACAGCGGACACGATCTTTACCATAGGACATGGGGTTGTCAACAAAAACCAAAGTTTTTGACCTTGACCTTTGACCTAGGAAGTTGTACATACATTATGACACACCCTCTGGTGTTGGTTAAAATACATGTCAAGTATAAACTTTGAAATCATAACGGTTCTCTAGATATAGAGCGGACACAATTTGTTAAGGACGGACGGACAGACGGACAGAGTGCAAACCTAAAGTCCCCATCGACTTCGTCAGTAGGGGACTAAAAACAGCAAAAAAGTATCACCCGTCAAGGGCAACACCTCATAGAAGGAGTAGACTGATAATTTCATGCATATGAACTGATTTGTAGTTAAGTGTCTAGCTAATAATTTTAGCTTTTTTTCAGTTTCTCACCACTTCTATAGTTTACACCCAAAATGCAAAATGATCATTCAGTAGACAGGCAATTATCCTACAAAAAATGCTGCCTGTTTAACTGGATTTATCCTACAGATTTACTTTGAGATAACCTTGTTGTTATGAGCAGAGACATGTAGTACAAACTGTTTGTCTCTGTTTTGAGAAATAAATTAACCAGTATTTATATTCTATTATTCTATTTACAGACATGTCAGTTTTGTGGAAAAGTAGACTATCAGCCTGGATGCATGTCTGGATATCATGAATGTGAATGAATTTGGTGAACCTTTGAGAGAATTGCCTTTTGTTGAGCAAACTATTGATATCAGCATTACTATTATTTTACTCTAGAAACTTACTATATTTACTTACTTTAGATATATAAATAACTATACCTCTTATTTGTTTGTATCTATTTATTAGTTATTGTTCGTTCATTTTATACACCTATACTATTGTATAACATAGTGGTAAAAGAATAAAAAATATTAACTTTAATAGTACCGTTTTCTGTAATTCTCCTAACTCACCCATGACACGACATGTTGAAATTATGTGGTCCATCTACTTAATTTGCCCAAACCAAACTTTATTATCTGCCAGGTTATCCAAAATATATCTTGATGTGCCCTGTGATTGTTTGCATTTTTTTTTTTACAAAGATATTATTTAATTATGAAAGTGTTTGTTAAATTGCATTGCCTGTTATAAACTGAAATATGTTTATTAACTGTTGAAAGTTACTCACCTCAGTGTCAGTCTTTAATGCAAAAGTGTAACATTACTAATTTAAAAAAATAAGAACTCCACCCTTATCATTGCATTCAGTGAGGTGTTAGTTTTTGATCTCTGTGGAAGACTTCATAAATACTTAGAGATGAAGAACAGGAATAAAAGTACTGTTTCTTTTCTTAAGGTTTGTCAAGTGTGTGTAGGGGTTTTAGGTTAATATGTATATATCAAATCCATACTTTTCAAGTATTCTAAAACAATGTGTGAGCTACTACATTTGAACTATACATAAATCTTGAACTGTCTGTTAAGTTGTTAAGTAGAAATTAATCTCCTACTTCTAGAAGCATCCAACCAAATATACATCTCTACTCTACATGGATCTAGTAATGTACTAAGTTTCATCTACATTCAATAAACCATGTAATAATTATTGTTGCAAGATTTCCTTTCTTAAAATCCATGGAAAAAAATTAAGATAAATTTGTTAAAGTTTCTGTACTTTTACACATTTATTTCAAAGCCCTCCTCTTTTCAAGTACATGTCCACTGAGACAGCTTTTTTACAATACAGTTCAGCTTGTTTATCACTTTGATATAACAGTAATGTAGCTATTGGTTGGTTCTTTAAGCTTCCCGTTTACTTATTATGTAACACAGTCTTTCACATCATGGCATTTTTATACCTGAATCTTAAATTCACTTAGTTTGCTAAATACATGACTGTTCATCTGCATAATCTGAGGGAGTCAATTTTAGAGGTCATCAACTTCATCTAATGTGTACTTTAGTATATTGTCATGACCTTGAAACAGGAAGTAACCGGAAAACTTTTGACCCTTTAGATACAGTGGAAACCATAATTTATCATCAGGCCACATCTTATCAAATGGAATATTAGTGGTATCAAACCACTCTGGTCTCATCTCTGAAAATGGATAAAAAATGATATTACATATAGATATATAATGAATATAGTGGTTCAATGTGTTTTCTTCATGATGTTGAAGGAATGAAATGTTACCTTTTTGAATAGCAATCCAATTGTTTTTTGTTGTTCAAAATGGGGAAAAAAATCATATTTACATTTTACATAATTAGACAAAAGGCAATCTGACCATCATTAATAGTCTTCTGCTACCATAAATCAGCCAGATAAGGCATTTTCCAATCTATTGCACTAATAAAAGAGAGGCGAAAGATACCAAAAGGACATTCAAACTCATAAGTCGAAAAAAAAACTGACAATGCCATGGCTAAAAACAGAAAAAGACCAACAGACAAACAACAGTACACAAAACACAACATAGAAAACTAAAGACTGAGCAACATGAACCCCACCAAAAAACTGGCAGTGATCTCAGTGCTCCAAAAGGGTAAGCAGATCCTGCTCCACATGTGCCACCCGTTTTGTTGCTCATGTTAGTACAGACCTGGTGATGTCTAATTCGGTAGGTCACATTCAGGGAAAAGCAGCACATTCACCAAAATAGGCAGTTTTTTCAAAGATAATGAACAAGAATTATGGATGGATACCCCATATCCTTTGTTTTTTTATTAGGAATAAACAGCTGAAACTAAAATTACTTTTCAGAGTAAATTATCGATCCTGTTTGCATTTTTCATTTATTTGTTTTTTTCAATGGCACCTGATCCATGTAACCTATTATCAGCTAAATGGAAAGTTACCTTGTGAAGCACTAGTAGGCCAAGAGAATGATTTTTTTTCTATCTCATTCAAAATTTAGAAATTGTGTTTATACTGTTGTTCAAATAAAAAAGACATTTAAATATTTCTTACAATATTTCCAATCAAATAAACTACAATGTATAATGCAAAAATAGAATAATGATAAAGTGTACAAAATTTATTCGACTTTTTTTTTTTTAAATTCCTTTTACTCAATCTGAGCATATTATAATTTGCATATCTTTGTCAAATGCAAAATTTGGCCTAAATAATCATACAAACTGCAGCAAGTCAGCAGAACCGTGACACATATATGATTTTATGACATTTAGTTAAGGATGTTCCCTACTCTTGTTTTTGAATTTTTGTCAGATATTCCGAATCTTCTAGTTTTATCCATTTAGTTCCAATAAAAATTGTATGAAAAATCTAGAGAGAATCATTTCCTGCCAAATTTTCAATTGATTATATCTCAAAAACCAGAACACAGACCTTTCATTTTTTTTTTTACTTTTTAGTTTCTTAATTCATATACTAACAATGTGTCAAGTCTTTAAAAAATCCCTGTTATTTTGAAACAGAGAAGTGAATATCCTTAAGGAAGAGGCAACAGAAGTATACTGATGTAAATATTTCATAAAAGGTAAAAACAAAAAACTCGAAATGAAGTGATGCCATGTGTGACAACAAGGTAAGAATTTCCTGCTATGCATGCATCACCGACAATGCGAAAAAATATGAAATATCTTTGTTAGGGAGTTGAATTATGGGATTAAATAACAACAGGTACCTGAAGATTCTTCTACTGTACCAGTAAACTGTTCTGTTGTAAACACATGGACCTCCAATAGCTGTGGGTCTCCAACAAATTCAAATTTCAACAAACCTATCTTCTCCAGGATATTACTTACCAGACCACATTCTTCTCTTAATTCTCTAAAAGATAAAACATCTTGCCATAAACTGTGGAAATATACAAATTTACTAACATTTAACAAGAAGCTCTCAAGAGCCTGAATCGCTCACCTGTAATTTTTTGCTTAAATCTTTCATCAATGATTATTTTTGCTTTTCAATATATATTAACGAGTGGCTTAAAAATGCCATTTAAATGTTCTTTGTATCTGTCATATTCTCTTCAAAAGCAAAAAAATGCATTTTTCCCCTATGTTCCATTTTAGCCATAGTGGCTATGTTTCTTGACGCACAATGAAATAAAATACAAAATTCATACTAGATACTCTGAAACTCATTCAGCCCAAGTTTAGCTGAAATTGATTCAGCAGTTTTAAAGGAGAAGATTTTTTAAAGTAAGCAAACTAGATGAACTAATTGTGAAAAATTGTCTTTAAAGGACAATAACTCTTTATGGGGTCAATTGACAATTTTGGTAATAAAACTGACTTGTAGATCTTACTTTGCTGAACATTTTTGCTGTTTACAGTTTATCTTTATCTATAATAATATTCAAGATAATAACCGAAAACTGCATAATTTCCTTAAAATCATCAATTCAGGGGCAATAACCTTAACATCAGATACCCGATTTGGCTGATAATTTTAGGGCAGGTAGACCTTGACCTAATGAATACTTTAACTCCTTGTCTGATTTGCTCTAAATGCTTTAGTTTTTGAGATATAAGTCAAAAACTGCATTTTACCCTACGTTCTATTTTTAGCCATGGCGGCCATGTTTTCTGAGGAAACAGAAAATAAAACACAAACTTTTTTCTAGATAACCTAAGAATCATTCAGCTTAAGTTTGGCTTAATTTGGTTCAGTAGTTTCAGGAGAAGATTTTTTAAAGTTAGAAAACATGATAAACAAATTGTGTAAAATTGTCCTTAAAGGGCAATAACTCCTTAAGGGGTCCAATTGACAATTTTGGTAATAAAATTTATTTGTAGATCTTACTTTGCTGAACATTTTTGCTGTTTACAGTTTATCTTTATCTATAATAATATTCAAGATAATAACCAAAAACTACAAAATTTCCTTAAAATTACCAATTTAGTGACAGAAACCCAACAATAGGTTGTTAGATTCATCTGAAAATTTCAGGGCTGATAGAACTTGACCTTATGAAATTTTTACCCTGTCAGATTTGCTCTAAATGCTTTGGTTTCAAAGATATAAGCCAAAAACTGCATTTTACCCCTATGTTCTATTTTTAGCCATGGCCGCCATGTTTTTTGATGAAACAGAAAATAAAACACAAACTTTATTCTAGATACCTTAAGGATCATTCAGCTTAACTTTGGTTGGAATTGATTCAGTAGTTTCAGAGGAGAAGATGTTTGAAATAGTTTACACCGGACGGACGACGACAGACGACGACGGACGCCTAGTGATGGCAAAAGCCCACATTTCCTTTGGAAAGGTGAGATAAAAAGCCTTTGGTGAGCAATCTCACATACCCCTTTCCTCCTATATAAAAGCTTTTAGTGACCTGAAGGCATAGCTTTTCATGCTTACCTTAAGGTATTCTTCTATTCTGTTATTCTTCAAAACAGTCATATAGTCTTACACAAATCTATTTCAGTAACTTTGACCTTGAACTTAGACATAGGACTACATGTAGTGTCCTAAAAATCAATAGAGATCTCCCTCTCATTATATGTGACCATATATCCAAGTAAGGTTTCAATCCCATATTTATTATTTGAAATAGCATCTAGAAACCACTTATCTGCACAAATTGCGTTATATTTTAAGTAACTATGACCTTTGAGAATTGACCTCTAAATCAATAGGGATTTTCCTGTGTTTATATAAGAGTATATATATATATCCAAGTACAAAATGCTTTCAAACCCATGTGTAGTATTTGAATTAGCATCCATACACCACTTTTTCTGAACAAATTTCAGTAACTTTGGCCTTGACCTTTGAGGTATTGACCTCAAAATCAATAGGGATATTTCTCTCATTATATGTGACATTATATCCAAATAAGGTTGCAATCCCATATGTTGTATTTGATTAAGCATCCAGAAACCATTTTTCTGCACACATTTTGGTCTATTTTTAGTTACGATGACCTTGACCTCTGACTCATAATCAATAGAGATCTTTCTCTCATTATATGTGATCATATATCAAAGTAAGATTGCAAGTTGTTATACAATATTTAGCACATGGAAATGAAAATGACTGACAGACTGACAAAAGAACTGACTCATGGTGCAAAAACTATATACCCCTGTTACTTCAATTTGTATTGTGGTGTATCATTTGTAGTAGGGGATATATAATTATGTAGGACAAGCAGAGTTGAAGGTAAAATTAGAAAAGTCAGTTAAACTGGATATCAGACATTCAAAGTATGAGGGTAGGACAAGAGATGGTCCACTTTGCTGTTCCTTTTTTTGATTGCAGGTGGAGTTGGTCATAAATGTTAAGTGATATGACAATCTTCATATATCCTGAAAGCTTGGTATCAACTTGCCCTTTCCTGGGTTTTAATCATTATTCTGATAAATTTGTCTCTCTAGTTTCCTTAGTTCATCACTTGGCGTCTGTCGTCGTCTTCCGTCTTTGTTAACTTTTACAAAAATCTTCTCCTCTGAAAGTACTAGCCCAAATTTTACCACACCCGATGATCATTAGGGTATCTAGTTAAAAAATGTGTCCTATGACCCAGCCTGCCAACCAAGATGGCCGACATGGCTAAAAATAGAACATAGGAGTAAAATGCAAGTTTTGTCTATTATTTTGAAAACTGTTATAAATAGAGAAAATCTGACAGGAGCTGGAATGTTCAGAATGTTGAGCTCTACCTATTGTTCATATACGTCAAAACTGTCAGACGACTTCTTAAAGGAGTTATTGCCCTTAACTAACAAATTTTACCATTTTTTCTCATTTTTGCCTATCATCTTGAAAACTATAATTGATAGAGAGAGGAAACTTTAAATTGCAAAAATGATCAGCATGACAAGTTTTACAAATAAGTCTGATGGTCAAAATCGTCAGATGACTCCTTATTAGAGTTATAGCCCTTTGATGATGATTTTTTACCAATTTTTTTGCCTTATATCTTAAGAGTGCACACGCTGAAATGTCTCCCCTACTATACTGAACACTGATTTTATGTTGATAGTCCTACATATAAAGTTTTACTACAAATATCACATTAACATTTAAGATCCAAGAAAATGAGGTCAAGGTCAGATAAACCAAGCCGGAAATACATGTACACCTTTAATACAATCATTCCATACACAGAATATAGATGACATATTGCTTATAGTATAAAAGAAACAGATCAAACCATGTAAATTCTATATTGACCAATGAACCATGAAAAGGAAGTCAAGGTCAGATGAACCCTGCAAGACAGACATGTACACCTTAAAATCATTCCATGTATCAAATATAGTTGACATATGGCTTATAGTATCTAAGACCCAAGTTAACCAGGAAAACTGAACATTGACCAATGAACCATGAAAATAAGGTGAAGGTCAGATGTCACCTGCCAGACAGACATATACACCTTACAATCATTCCATACACCAAATATAGTTGACCTACTGCATACAGTATTAGAAAATCCCAAAACACAAAAACTTAACATTCAGCAATGAACCATGAAAATGAGGTCAAGGTCAAATGTCACCTGCCAGACTGACATGTAAACCATAAAATATTTCCATACACCAAATATAGTTGACCTACTGCATACAGTATTAGAATAAAATGCTCCGAAGGGCGCAGCTTGATACGACCGCAGAGGTCGAACCCTGAACAGTTGGGGCAAGTATGGACACAACATTCAAGCTTGATACAGCTCTGAATTTGGATTGTGATTAAATATTTGACACAGCATAGGTTTCTGACACAGAATGAATGTGGTCTAAGAACTTAAAAATTTTAAATTGGACATTCACCTATTATGGTCCAATATCCAAAATCTAAATACATGGTTAGATTCAGCATATCAAAGAACCCCAAGAATTCAATTTTTGATGAAATCAAACAAAGTTTAATTTTGGACCCTTTTGATCTCAATGTGGACAAAAATGATAACAGGGCCCAAAAATCAAAAATCTAAATACATGGTTAGATTCAGCATATCAAAGAACCCCATATATTCAATTTTTGTTGAAATCAAACAAAGTTTAATTTTGGACCCCGATTTGGACCAACTTGAAAACTGGGCCCATAATCAAAAATCTAAATACATGTTTAGATTCAGCATATCAAAGAACCCTAAATTTCAATTTTTGTTAAAATCAAACTAAGTTTAATTTTGGACCCTTTGGACCTTTATGTAGACCAATTTGAAAACGGAACCAAAAATTAAGAATCTAAATACACGGTTAGATTCGGCATATCAAAGAACCCCAATAATTCAATTTTTGATGAAATCAAACAAAGTTAAATTTTGGACCCTTTGGACTTCAATGTGGACCAATTTAAAAACAGGGCCCAAAATCCAAAAACTTAATACACGGTTAGATTCAGCATATTACAGAACCCCATATATTCAATTTTTGTTGAAATCAAACAAAGTTTAATTTTGGACCCCGATTTGGACAAACTTGAAAACTGGGCCCATAATCAAAAATCTAAATACATGGTTAGATTCAGCATATCAAAGAACCCCATATATTCAATTTTTGTTGAAATCAAACAAAGTTTAATTTTGGACCCCGATTTGGACCAACTTGAAAACTGGGCCCATAATCAAAAATCTAAATACATGATTAGATTCAGCATATCAAAGAACCCCATATATTCAATTTTTGATGAAATCAAACAAAGTTTAATTTTGGACCCTTTTGATCTCAATGTGGACAAAGTTGATAACGGGGCCCAACAATCAAAAATCTAAATACATGGTTAGATTTAGCATATCAAAGTACCCCATATATTCAATTTTTGTTGAAATCAAACAAAGTTTAATTTTGGACCCCGATTTGGACCAACTT